ATGGTTTCTGCACAGGATTGGTACGCGCGCTCTGCGTGGCGTACTCGGGCCCGAGGCGAGCTACGGCAGACGGCGCCGTCAGCGAGGAGATACATGCGAGGGGCACGGTCATAGCTGGCTGCTCGTGTGCAACAACGATGGCCAGACTCATGCTGATGGACCTTCTTGTCAAGAGCCGAGCCAATCTCCCCATCGGGAGGATCGTCAACGTGATTGACGACATCTCGGGCAATGGTATCGGATCCAGAGGGGTGCTAGTCAGCCAGGTGAACAGCTTCGTCCAGGGCGTCGTGGCGATGCTGAGGGACAAGCGGCTGCCGATCAACTGGGGCAAGACGAAGGTGCTGGCATCCTCAGTGGACACCCAGCGCGAACTGATGAAGCAGGAGGGGTGGCCGCTGGACAGGGACGCCTTTGCTCAAGGACACCGAGATCTCGGTGGCGACGCGACGGCTGGGGGCCACCGTATGGTGGCGACGCAGGTCAAGCGGGAGTTGGATGCACTCCGTCAGGCAGCGAGACTGACACGCATCTTCGGGCCTGGGCTGCGGCAAGCCCGGGTGATGCGAGCTGGGCCGACCGCCAAGGCGCTCTGGGGCTCGGCCATCTCTGGAGTTCCACCTGGGCGCATGAGGGCGCTGAGGGTGGCCGCGGCGAAGAGCGCGGGTCGCCTGCCGCCTGGAGCGGCCCTCAGCTTTGCACTGCAGCGTGCGCCCCGTGGCTGGCGGCAGGACCCGCTGGTGGTCGCAGTGGGAATGGCAGCGCAGACATTCGTCAACGTGGTGTGGTCTGGGCAAGCCTCTGCTGCAGCCATCCAAGCGTGCATCCACAAAAGCCAGCAGGTGCTAAGCAAGCAGCGGCCTTGGAGCTCAGTCCGTCAGCCGATAGCGGCGCTCACGCTCACTCTGCAGAGGATAGGCTGGCAGCTCGCCGTCGGCGGCACCAAGCTGCTGGACGAGGACAAGAGGGAGTTCGAGGTGCTGCACTTCTCGCCCGCTTTCCTGGCGGAGTGGGCCAGAGAGGCCACGAGGAAAGCGGCCGCGCTGGAGGAGGCTCGTGATCGTCCTGGATCGCTCTGGCCATGGAAGCTGCCGCCACAGTGGAGGCCAGTCAACGAGCTGCTCGGCAAGAAGGAGACGGAGACCTGGACTGGGCACCACAAAGGGTGCCTCCGCTGGCTCGTCTCGCTCGCACACTGGCCCCAGGACCGTCTTGCGAGGCACTCCTCGGACATCGACCCGATCTGCAAGCTATGCCAGGCTGCACGAGGAACGATGTTCCACAGGCACCACGTTTGCCCAGCTTGGGAACCTTGACGGCGCGACAGGCTGCCGCCCGACTTGAAGCGTGCAGCTTGGGTAGTCCACGAGATGGGCCCGCCGTTCGATGAGCTGTTCTGCCAGGGCCTGTTCGTGGATCCCTCCCAGCTGTTGCACCGCCCGTGCTGGCAGCCTCAATGGGAGCGGCTCTCGCATGGTTGGCATGAAGCAGTTGTGGTCGAAGACGGTGCCATGGTTTTCGCCGACGGCTCCTGTATCCTCGGTGAATTTCCCCGCCTGCGCAGCGCTGGCTGGTCGGTCGTCGTTCTGTCCAAGGAAGGGGCGATCCTAGCAGAGGCGTGGGGAGCTGTTCCCCCTAGTCTATGCCCATCGCAGACGGCACGTGCTGGAGAAGACTACGCAGCAGTGGTGGCGCTCACGCAGGTCACTGGCAATTACCAGCTGCTGATCGACTGCAAGGGCACAGTGGGCTCGGCGCTCAACCTTGGCAGAGCTCAGGGCCCAACTTCGACCTACGCCCATCTTTGGGCCAGAGTTGGGGACGCCGCGGAAGGTGTGGAAGTCAAGCACATTCCTGCACATCGGTCAGAAGCAGCTGTGGCCAGAGGGGAGCTATCGGCTATCGAGCTCTCCGGCAACCGCCTAGCCGACAAGCGAGCGAAGGAAGGAGCCGCCCTCCACGCCCTTCCAGCCGACGAGGTCCTGCTCCTGGAGGGCTGCTTAGCCAGGGCTCGTGACGCAGCCCGCTTCGCCGCAGAGATCGAGGTCTTCATCGCGGATTCTGGGATGCGAGACTGCTGGCCGACGGAAGCCTTGGACAACGTCAACCTCCAGCCGTACCTCTACCCGTGGAACCTGTCGTGCGAGTGCGAGGACTACGACTTGTTGGACGCCACCACGGCGCAGCGTGGCAGAGGCTCGGCAGCTGTGTCAGCGGCAGCCTTCGCCGCGGCGGCAGCGACCAGCGCAGCGGCCACAGGCGCTGCGGCAGGCGCCGCGGGCGGCGCAGCTGGGCCTGCTCGAAAGCGCCCAGCGGCTGCGCTGAGGGCCGCCTCCGCCCCAGCCGCCCCCATCGCTGTGGGGCCAGGCGAGGAGGGCAGTCATCGTGCTGAGGCAGCGAGCGAGGTGTTTGCCAGAGAGGTTCGGCGCAGGGCGGAGGCCAGGTCGGCAGCAGAGTCCTCTCAGCACACCCAGCTAGAGGAGCAACGCCCGTCACCTGCCCCCACGGCTGGACCAGAGCCATGGGTAGTGCACGGCCACAACATAATGCAGACAAGCGTGGTGAGCAAGCCGAGCGAGGCCATCCTGGTGTGCACGCGCTGCTTCATGTACTGCCACCAGCCGCGGTATGCGCACAGGGGCCTGGCCAAGCCGTGCGTCGGTGGCGATCACAGATCGAGCCAAGGGTCGCGTGCTCAGGCCAGGACTGACTTCGGCAGATTGCGATTGCCAGGCAAGGAGAAGCCGCCGATCGTGATGCTCAAGTCGCCGACGTTGGAGGAGATGCAGCGCTGGCGAAGGTCGCTCAAGGTGGATGACCTCCTGGCGGCGGCGCGGGCTGGCGGCCCAGGAGGCTCGCCAAGGCCTGCGGCTGCACAGCCTGCGGCGGGGCGTGCTGCTGGCGCGGATGTGCCTGCGGGCGGCGCGGCGGCGACTTCGGCGAGCGCCTCGGCAGCCGTGGGCGCGGCGGCGGTGCAGCCCGCGGTGCGCGCGGGCTTGCAGGAGCTCTCAGTGCCCGACCTGGAGGGCGTCCTCCGCGCGCACGGCTTCGCGTCGGCGGACGACGCCCGCGCCCGAGGGCGAGAGGCAGCCCAGGTGCGCGGGGAGCGTGACCGCGCGCTGGAGCGCGGCGAGGCGGCCCCGCGAGCGGCGAGGAGGCGGGGCCGACGCTGGTGAGCGCCCCCCTCGGCCGCCGTGGGGCCCTCGGCAGTCCCGCGCCGTTTGCGCGGGCCTGCGGCCCGTTGAGAATTTGTGGCATGACCACGCGGGGGCTCGCGCCCGCTCGAAGAGTAAAAAAAAATGCCCTCACCGGATGCGGCATGATAATACATGTCTCTCATGTTTGGTGTTCGCGCCCAGGCGCAATCCGTAAACGCATCGCGGCTTCGGAGGTCGTGGTGCCCACGGGAACATCAGTGTTGGCACGGGGAGATCATTGCGTTTCGCGCGTCGAGGCCTGGGCCGAGGGAGGTTGCCCTTCTCCAAGGGGGCGGCGCGAGGGCGCGAGGGCGCGAAGATCATCGCGCATCGCGGGGCGCGAGGGCGCGAGGGCGCGAGGGCGCGAGGTTAGGCGAGCTAGGTAACAGCGTGGGAAATGTCGCGCAGCTGCTAGGAGGCTCACAGGCGCTTGCAAATCAGTATTTCAATAATCGAGGCTTTGAGTTGCAACTCGTTCGCCCGCCGCGGGGAAGTGGAGCGCGAACATGACCAACAACAGCGCTAGCAGCCCTGTACGTTGGTCAAGCAATTCGTCGGTCTTGTCGTGTACCGTATTCCTACGTTCGTTTCCATCGGCATTGGGTTGTAGGACATCGCGCAATGTGGTCAAGTGCAAATGTAGTCTTGTCTTCACGAATAAGCAGAGCTCACGGATGGGATCAGCCTGCTCTTCAGAGCAAGGGCTCAGCGGAGCAATTCAAGATGTGTCTAAGCTGTTGTAATGCTGAGACATCGGGTCAGGCCTGCGTCGGTTTGATGGTGAGAGACCCATGCCACAACTTCGCCCTAGTCGTCAACCCTTCCATCCTCCCTCCTCATAACGACTCAGAGTATTTATTTCACATTCGGGTATTGAAGCAACTTGAGATGAGGAGAAGGTGCTGCCGCGAGGCGGCCGCCGCGGCCGCCGCTGTGGCCTCGACGGTGGCCGCCGCTGCGGCCTCGATGGCAGCCGCGGCAGCGCAGCGCCTGCCGCGCGGAAGGTGCGGAAGGTGCAGGTCGAGGGAAGCCCTTTCCGGCCTCGGCTCCGAACGGCTTGGAACGCGCGCGTTGGGGAGAGGGACGCACGGCGGAGGCGCGAGGACAAGGGCACGCTTCCCAGTCGCGGGCGCCCCCGCTGCTTGCCCGCTCGCGCTGGCCTTGGCGCTCCCATTTCCCGTTCTCCCCGCTCGCCTCCTCCTGCCCCCTGCCCCCCTGCCCTTCCCCCCCCTGGGGGGAGAGTCCAGATCCCCGACGTCGTGATGTTTCACAACCCGCAGGTCCTGGCGTGGCGTTTTTTCACAACGGGGGGTCTTGCGTTGTTTCGGTGCCCAGGATCCTTCTACGACGTTTTCAATTTTGCTCGGAACGTCGGATCTCAGGGCACGTGGTCCCAGGGACGTCTCGACCTGACCCTCGGGTGTGGCTCTTCATCCTGAGCCGTTCTTCGACGGACCTGGGGCACGGCGAGGGCCCCTGGAGGCCGTTCGGGATGATCCTGGCATCCCCGGAACGCCCTCGGCGAGGCGCAGCTGCTGGAACGCACCCGAGGCAGGAAATCCGCCGCGAATCGACAGAAGCGTCCGAAATCCTGAGTAGATCGACCCCTGGGGGCTCTCCTGGGATGTGTACGGACCGGAATTTCGAGGCGGCCGGTCGGGGTGATCGGGGCGAGGCGCAGCTGCTGGGAAGCCTCCCGATAGGCGCGACAGCCTCCGAAAACTTCGCGACGGGCGCGACGGCACGAGGTGCCCGGACGAGGGCAGCGGGAGCCGCCGTGGGGCGCGCCGGCTCCGCGCCCAGGACCTTCCGCAGCGGGCTGCCTCCGAGAAGGGCGCGCGAAAGGCGCCTGGCCCGCGAGCGCGCCCGCCGCGCGCCGGCCGCAGCGCCGGGGTGGAGCCGTGGCCCCTGGCGGCGGGCTCGCGCCGCGTCTGGGCGGCTCGGAGGGACTCGGCGTGCCCCCAGAAATCCAGCGCATTGGCAGCATCCGGGCGGCGGTCGTTTCGCCGCATTTGGCCTCGGGAGGCCTTCGCCAGAGCCCGGGACAGTCCAACGACGCAGGATGAAAGGCCGCCCCTGCCCCCCCCCCCGGGAGGGGGTCGGGACTGCTGGGGACCCCGTGAAAAAACAAGACATCGCATCCTGTCCGAGCCCTGAGGCCCAGGCGCTGCAAGTTTTGGGCACCAGGCGTTTTCGCCCGGCGTCGGGTCCCGGGACCACCACAGATCGATCCAGCACGAAAAATGCGGCAGGAAGACTGGGTATAGGGCTCTGGCTGAGGTGTTTCGCGATGTTGCATGTTTTCCGCAGCGTCGGCTCTCCGGGTGTACACCAAGTCGCTTGGTCCGCCAGGGAGACAAGAAGCTTGGCAAAGGAGTGCGGCGTATGGACATTCCAGCGTCACACGGGTCAGAAAGTTGGGGCGTCTCTACACCGGGCGATTTGGTGTATCCTTCGAGCCCCTCCCAGCGGCGGCGGCCCTGGCCACGGCGCGGACGCTTTCAAGCGGAACGCCACCGGTGGCCCAGATTCAGCTGCTATCGCACGATCTGCGATAGTGGAAATCGGTAACGTTCGAACTGGGTGCGGCAAAAATATGCACAAAGACCAACAGAAGTGGCTGTCCGTTTTGGAGAATAAAACGTTGTCGGTGTCGCCGCGGACGTTGTCCATGTGAGACAACAAGTGTCCTGCCCAACAGCGTCCGCTATCGGATTTGGACAACATTTGCTGCTGGGCATTGTGGCCCCTTTTCCGTCCCATTTCGGGCGCGCCAAGGAAAGCCGCAGTCGTTCAATATTCGACGATCCACGCACTGTCATAGACCAACGCCGGCGTCATCGCGAGATTGGCCTGCCGTACACCAAGGGGCCCATCGACTAATTATTGGTTCGCCCGGGGGAGTGTGAGGGGCTGGGCTCCCCCAGTTGGGGCTGGTCGGTCTTCCTTAGAATTAGAGTTGACGGCATCAGCATGAATGTTGGCCAGCGTATTGGCGGGTTCTTGGGCTCTCGAAGTGCAATTGTGGTGGCCAGTCTGTGTATGGTGCGACCTGTGTGTTGCATCCTACTTACTGCAAGCTACGCAGTGCATTCGCAGCATGTTGCGTGATACACTGTATGGGGTGTGCTGCCTGAGTGATGTGCAGTGTATGTGCTGCAACCTATGGGATGCAACCAATGTGGAGCAGCATGGCCTTACATAACTTGTATGTATTGCTGTAAAGCCGGGTGTGAGCCCCCCCGTATCCAGAACGGACGACTCGTGGTCATCTGTGTGGTCTCCCGTATTGTTTCCCGAATGGTCTCCCGCATGTTCTCTAGTATGGTCTCACGGATGTCTATTTCAGCGTAACGTTGTTTCGTTGTATGTCATCTTGCCGACAGGGTGAACATGTATGTCGCCGTAAATGGATATGTATAACTATGGCCATCCAGTGTGCAATCGATCTGCTCATGATGAAGCAGAGTGTGCGATCGACCGGTTGCAATACTTATATTTATAAATATAAATGTAGTAACCAGACAACGCTAGCCAGCGCACGAGGCGCTCACCAGGCCCCCTTGCGTGCTCTGGCCGAAAGTCTGCAACCTTCAGCCAGCGTGCGAGACGCCCGAGGGCGAGCACCAGACGAAAGCCAGAACCGACCAGCCAGCGCAGAGGAGGGCCCACGAGACGCCAAACCGTGCTGCCACCGGGCGAAGGCCTGGAGCCGCCAGCCAACTACTCGGCTGCGAAAGTGAGAACCTCGCTAGTGCGAGCACGACTGAGCTTTCGCAGGTCTGCGTGGACTTTTTGGGTCGGCGCTGAACGCCCCTCTCCACACCCCTGCTGGTGCCTCCCGCCCGCTCCGCACGCCAGGGAAGGGGCGGGGGGAGGGGCGTCCAGCGCCAACCCAAGAAATCCACGCGGACATCCGACAGTCTATATATATATATATATATGTACATATGATTATCCCGCTTGTGTCGTTCAAATGCTGCAGTACGGGCGGAAGAAGAAGAAGTGGAAGAGGATGAGGGAACGACGGCGATTACCCCTGATGTTCGGTACTGAGTAGCGGCAGCCTGTGCTTGAGATCAGTTTTCATTTCGGGCTGGTGGCGTTTATTCTCTGAGTGCAACAGCCGTCGCCACGATTGGGAAGCACATGTCGGTGCGTACCAGAATAGACCGGTTCTTGGAGACGTTGCTGGTGCATGGTTGGGTAATGAGAGTGCCATGGGCCAGCCTGCTCGAGTTGAGACCTCGCTACATCGTCCACTGACGGTATGGATATTTGGCGATTGTAAACGTACCATTTTTTTTTGTTGTTGAGGGGGGGGGGGCCCGAGAGGTTATGGTGGCTTCACGTTCAGTGTGTCGTGGTGGTTTTTGTGAAGCAGAGGCCACAGCGTGCGCCTCAAAAAGATCTAGTCTGAAATGTTGCACCGTGTCTTTTGCACAAAATTTACGGCCTGCATCAGATAGCACGGCACATGTTGCATTACATATACTTCATTACATATACGATATAGATAGCACCCACGCAGCATATAGATAGCACCCATCACCCATCATATCACAAACCCAGAGTGCCCGATAATCCCTTGATTGGGGTGCACCGTGGCAAATATGGTCTGTTCCGTGAAGTGTTGCACGACCCGTGTAAGGAAACGAGGATGGTTTCGCATTTGAGCCTCCAGACAGCGCGGGCAGTTCAGATGGCGGATCAAACACATGTAGTCGTTTCGCCGACAGGGGAATTTCACGACGCGCATGCACACGAGGCTACTCGAGCAGAACAGCGCGGGACTGACAGTTCCATGCGCACGTAATTAACATTTTTCTTCGGGCGCCCATACCACGAAAGTTTTGCGGACGACTCTTCTGACATTTGAGTCAGTCCAAACCAGGGGGCATCAACACCTTTCAGCGCATACCAGAGGGCCAGTGTAAGTGCTGGTGCGTTTGTCAGTGGTTGCACGTGGTTTCTTCTAGGCTTGCGCACGTGCTTCAAAATAAGTGTCCGAATGCCGCGTCCAATTTGACATGTTTCTAATCCTCGTCCTCCTTTGACGCCTCTTCATTTCATTCCTCATTCGTCTTCCCCCCCGGTTGCTCATCGGTTCCTTCAAATGGTTTTGCGTTTTTTTGTTCGGCCTCTCTAATCCTCTATTATTCGGCATGGTCGTTCTACACACTATTCTCCTTTTCCTAGCCCTCCTGCATCCATTTACTGGGACATTCCTGTGGCAAATGCATTGCCATCCGTATATAAGTGGCACTCTGTCAGCGATTGTAATGTTCCATCTCGTTTTGATTGAGACGTCGATTGGCATCGGTTGAAGCCCTCTGGTCCGAGTCGTGGCCACGGAACCGAATCGGCATAATGCGAGTTGCGTGGAATCGTACATTTCGCACGCGTGGTAATTAGGGGTGAGTCGAGGGGCATGACAGGTTTGGACACGGAGTTGGAGATAGGTCCTCCCTCGGTGCCCACCGCTCGAAGACCACTGAAGCTCCTGCTCTTCGCCCCTTCCACCTCACCATTCCCTTCCCCCTCCCATATCCCGTCCCGTCCTCCCCTCGCCGTTCTTCACGTCATATTTATATATATATACACACCAGCAGAATCGTAGATGGCAGATGGCCCAAGTGTATGTAGCCGCCTGCCTCCTCGTAGAGCAAGGTCGAGTACCTGACTCGGGAGTGGTAGTGGCACTTCGTTTCGTGATCGGTCCTGTCCCATCCTATCCTATCCCGCTTCGCCGCTTTTTCCCCCGTCCCCCCCTCCCCTCCCCTCCCCCACCTACATCCTCTGGTCCTGTCGGGCCCCGTCCAGAGTCTTATCTTGCATCCGGTGAGGCACGCAAGCACGCGCTGCAGAGCGACGACCACTCGCCCAAGAAGGACGAAGTAGCTGAAGCCGCCGAGGCTGTGGCACACGAGTTCGCGATCGCAGACGGCGACGAGGATCACTGTGCAAAACAAAAATCCAGCAAGGAAAATTGCCCTGGTCCGCGTTGTCGTCCGCCTGTAGTGTCGGGGAAGTGTATGTCTTACACAAAGAGATGATTCTATACAATTGTAATCAGAACTGTTCGGGAGTGAGCCCGAAAACCTGTAGCCTTTTGCCCGGCTCAGAGAAATTAGCTTGACGAAAGACCCAACCATATGCGGCTGCGAGTACCGCATTGTGGGCACCGCTTTCGGTGGAGCTTCTTTTGGGGCCACGAGCCGTGCGAGGGGCGTGCCGAAATGGGCGCAGTGGTGCCATGCGAACCCTCCCACCGGAGCCTTCGGTGGAGCATTCTGTGGGGCCACGAACGTGTGAGGTGGTGTACCGAATTGAGCGCGGTGGTGCCACGCGAACCCTCCCATTGGAGCGTTCGGCGGAACTCTCTATGGGGCCACGAACAGTGTGAGGAGTGTGCCGGATTGGGCGCGTGTCATGCAAACCCTCCCAATGGAGCCTTCGGTGGAGCTCCCCATGGGGCCATGAGCCGTGTGAGGGGTGCGCCGAAATGAGGATGGCACTCCATGCGAATTTGCCACTGAGGCTTCCGGTGGAGCTCCCTATGGGGCCAGTGAGGGAGGGGTGCGCCGAGATGAGGGTGGAACTGCATGCGGACCCTGCCATTGGGGCCTTCGGTGAAGCCTCCTATAGGGCCACGAACCGTTTGAGGGGTGCGTCGAACTGAGGATGGAGCTGCATGCGAACCCTGCCACTGGGGCCTTCGTTGGGGTTCCCTGTGGGGTTACGAACCGTGTGAGGGGTGCGCCGAAATGAGGGTGGAACTGCATGCGAACCCTGCCACTGGGGCCTTCGATGGAGCTCGCTACGGGGCCACGAACAGTGTGAGGGCGTGCAGGAAGGGGCGGGAAACGATGACGATGATGGTGATGATGACGGCCGTAATGGTGATGACGATGGTGATTACGATGAGGGTGACGATTTTGATGATAATGATGATGATGAGGAGGAGGAGGAGGGTGAGGATGATGATGCTGATGATGATGATGATGATGATGATGATGTGGTGATGATGGTGATGGTGATGATGATGACGATGATGATCGGAGGAGGGAGGAGGAGGAGGAGGAGGAGGAGCAGGAGGAGGAGTGGAACCACACCCACAGGATGTGGAGCAGGAGGAGGAGTGGAGCAGGAGGGGGAGCGCGGGGCGCTGTCTCTTCAAAAAGTTGATCCACACCCACAGGATGGTTGGGAACAAAAACGTGCCCCTTGTCCCGCTGCCACGGGGACGGGGGGACGCGAGCATGGTAGCAGAGCTCGCTTGATCGCGGGCCGCTCCGCATCCTGCGAGTTGGCCGCGGCGCGTACGGCATCTGCGGCCAAGCAGCGGGCAGCCCCATGCCTCGGCCAAGACGGCGCGCAAGGCGCACAAGAGAGCCGCCGTGCGATTAATGCCGCGGTGGCGTGGGCGGCCGCTTTCTGAAGCGGAAGGCAGTGGTGAGTCGGCGGAGCGTTCCGCGGCGGAGGCCAGCCTCGCACCACCGAAGAAGCGCAATACGCGCGGGAAGCGCGGCAAGGACGCTCGACAGCATCGGGTGGGCCGAGGCAACGCGTGGCGGAAGCTCGCCGAGTGCGCAGACGCGGCGGACTTCACTCCCGAGGACGGCCGCGGTGAAAAAGCAGCTGCGAAGAGGCAGGCAGCAGCAAAAGGCTAAGATGGAGGGCCAGATTTGGCACTTGGCGGAAAAAGTCGGGCAGCTGACGGTGACGAGTCAGCAAGTGCAGGCCGACCTAAAGTAGCGAGACGCGGCGCTGGCATAAGGTCGAGGGCAGCTCAAGAGTCAGAACGACTTAGCGCGAGAAGCAGCAAGACGCCATACGGAGATCTTGGACGCAAAGATCCTGCACAATGTGATGCTATTCGACGGCAATAGGAGCAGCTGGAAGACGCTCGGTTCCCAGTGCCGAGCGTACCGGGTAGCGCAGGGCAGGATGCGCAGGTCGCTGCTCGACAAGATCGAGGACCATGTAGAGGACGTGGACAGCGTGAACCAGAATCCGGAAGAGGACGGACTCATCATGCAGCTGTGCTTCGCCTTGGCCCTGGCCATGCCGGAGGATTCAGTGGCGGAGCTGATCGCGAGGAGCAGCCTGCAAGGCGGCAGAGCCCTGCGTTGGAGGAATCTTGCGAAGGAGTACAACCCCGCAGAGGCAGGAAACGCGCTCGCGACGTGGGCGCACCTGGCAGGCGCGAAGTTCGAGCTCTACGAGGACGCGCTGGCGAACATCCAGAAGCTCGACGAGAGCATCGCGCGGCGCCACAAAAAAACAGGCGAGGCGGTCTCGGACTTGATGAAGCGAGGAGTTCTCGCGAAGGCGCAAAATGGCCGCGCGGAGCTGCAGAAGCACGTCTTCTGGAATAGCGCGCGTCTCAACGCGTTCGAGCTCTCAAGGGGGGGAGCCGCGCAAGGACTGACGGCGGAGCGCGCGGCGATGGACCACCCCTCGGAGATCGGAGCGTTGAAAGGGGGAGTCGTGGAAGGGCCGCGGAGGCAAAGGAGGGGCAGAGGCGAGGCAGGGCAAGGCCGCGGCCGACAAGCAAGCGAGAACCCTGACGCGGAAATCGAGACCCACTACTGCCACGAGACAGGTCACCGCAAGAGCGACTGCAGGAAGCGGATCGCGGAAACAGGAAAGCCGACGAACAGTCCGACTTAGGGAGAAAGAGCGAGAGGGAGCATTGAAGACAAAGAAGAAGGCCGCCGCCTCTACCGCAATGAGCAGGAGAGGCAAATGCAGGACCAGCAGAGCCCGTCGACGGTTCCGACGCAGCCGACATTAGGCAGCGAAAGAAGAGCCTCCGGCAGCGCAGCGAGCGCAGCGACCCAGCCTGCGCCGGGAAGTCTTCAGGCGAAGATGAGTTTAGCAATGAGTGCACAAAGATGCAAAGACACGATATACCTTGGGTTTGGGGGGGCCAGGCGAGCGCGACGAGCGCGGGCGCAGCTCCCGCGAAAAGCCTTCAGACGAGGCCGTTGGCCTCGCGATGTCTGGAAGCTGGGCGCCTGCAAGGCGCGCGCGGGCTACTTTCTCAATTTCCACTTGGGGGCGCAGCGGCGACATGTGTCGCCGCTGTCGAGCGGCTGCGGTTTGCCCCGCGCCAGCGCTAGCACGTGGACTTCAAGTGCTCGGCGAAGGTGGCGACCGAATGCGGCTTGCCCCGCTTCGGAATTCAGCGGCGCTGGATTCGGCGGCGCAGATCAGCGCCGCCCCCCGAGCGCGGGCGGAGAGGCGCAACTACGCGCCGAAGGACAGCAACGCGGCGGGCCTGCAGGGCATCGGAGGGGGGAGATATCCCAGGCCACGGCCAGGTGGAGCTCAACTTGTCTCGAGGAGGAGACGTAGTTCAAATTGGAGACGAAAGGGCTGACGTTGAATGCCCAGCGGCGGTGGCGGACGCCGTAGCGGCTAGGGGCAAGGGCCCGCTGCGCCGCCCAGTTGGGAACAGGATCATCGGCGGGGTCATCGAGCCGCCAGAGCGGAACGGAGCGCGTGACCATGCGAACGCACCAGCACAACTACGACTTAGAGTACGGTGAAATCTTCGACGGCGGAGGCCGCAAGGGGGCCAGCATGGCTGCAGTTCGGATGGCCCTCCCGCGACGTGTCCCTGCTGCACGAGAAGTTGCGCGCTTGCTTCGAGCATTGGGCCCAGGGCCCGACGAGACGACCCCGGCGCCTGCGAGAGCGCTCGCGTCGCCGTGCCAGCCGAGCGCGGCAGAGAGCGCAGCCCATGACGGACGCCATTTCCTTGTTCCGCCCACGGTGCCCCGCGCACGTTCAAGGTCGAGCCTGCGACGATCCACGCTGCGTTCGGGAGGCCCCGGGCGAGTGGCAGATCCCCATGGTGCGTCTCGAAATTACTGCGCGGGCGCAGACGAGCTTGCGATGAAGTTCAAGATGGAAGAGGGTTTCTGCAGCGACGGGGGAATTCTCGAGATGGCGACAGCGGATCTGGAGAAGAGCATTTCGGTGCTCGACGCAGTCGACTCCGAGGTTCTAGCCCGGGCAGCGCTCTATATTCCAACAAGAAGCGCGACGACTACGATACCGGGCATCTTCTTGCAGTGGAGGCTCGGGGTCATGCGACTGCGACGCTGTAGACTGATCAGGGCACTGCCACGATTGCTTTGGCCAGTGCAGCGAGGGGCCGTCGATCGCATTCTACTCTGGCGCGGGATCATGTCCTTTTTGCGAGGCAGAATGATTGGTGCATCGAGGGCGCGAACAGGCTAGCAGCTGAGCTTCCACGAGCCCACGTGCTGAGACTGGAGCAGAAGCTCGGAGAGGAGATCAAGATGCAGGACCCGATCTTGCAGTGGCTTGCGGGCACCGCTGGCTGGATGGCCACGCAGCGCCAACCGCGTCGCCATGGGAGCTCTGCGCACCAGATGCTGCGCGGCAAGGAGTACCGGGGAGAGATCGCGGAGTTCGGAGAGCAGCTGGAGCTGCACCAGGTCGAAGCAAGTGGGGGGCCAGGCTTGCCGGTGGCATCCGCGTCGGCGAGAGCGCCGCCGACGACGCGCATTTGGCGATCGACTTCGAACGCGGACAACAGAAGGTACGAACGGCAAGAAGAGTACCTGAGGAGCGCAGATGGGGCGCCGAGTTGCTCAATCACAGCGGTGCCATGGGGGCCGACGCCTTCGAGGGCGCGGCGCGCACGTCGTGGAAGTAATGATCAAAGCGCGCGGCCCTACCGACGACTGCAAGAAGTGTAGCATTGGTTGTGGATCGCAGGTGGAAGCGCGCCGTCAGCGGTTCGAGTCCACGCAAGCGTATTTTGTTTGGAGGGAAGCTCGAGAAGAGCCCCGGGTCTGACGAGGCCACGGCGATTGCGCCGGCCGCGGGTAGTGCCGCGCTGGGCGCAGCGAAAAGCAGCAGTGGGCACGTCGCGGGCAGCCCCGCGAGTCCACGGGCCGAGGACGCAGCCAGCCAGACGCGAGCCTAGGAGAGGCAGCTGAATTCGTTCACTCAGCTCCATGGAGGTCGGGGAGGACCGAGTTCGAGGAGCGGGCCCAGGCGGGCCACGACCGACCGAGGAGATCAAGAAGCCGAGAGTAGCAGTTTTCGGAGCTGGCTCGGTGTGCGAGCTGGCAGTCTGCGAAGAAGGGCACGACGAGAGCGTCGATCCTGCCTGGGACCCACATCCGCAAATATCAGGAAGGTGCTCAGAGGGATGCGAGAAGCATGCGTCAAGGTGCCAGCGAAGAGAGCGCCGCAATATTGAGTGTGCCTGGAGACGTTGCTCGATGAGCCACATCGTCTCGATCCAGGGCCACCTGGACAGCATGGGGGACGGGCAGAATGATCAGATGGCGGAGGCCAGCAGCGAGCTTCACGAGAGGGGCCAGTGGTTACCCCGCGCCATCCATTATGATTCGTACACAGGTGAACCACTTGATGAAGTACTATATCAAGCTGGTCGAGACGACGGATTCCAGGCGACGCAGGAGTACGGAGTGCACGCGGAGGTGGGCATTGCCACGGCCGCCGACGGCAAACGCATGGCAGTTTCCCCCATCGCGTACGCGAAGGAGGGAATAACCGCGGAAGCCAGCAAGTACGAGGTCAGGGAGAGCAGCCACCAAAGGACACTGCCCCGGATGATCGCCAGGGCTCAGTCGAGCAGCATCGAGTCTTACATCGGCAGAGGGGCACAGGTGGAATATTCAGGCCTGCGAAATTCGGGAGACGATCTTGGACGCCGACTTGGAGGGGAAGATCCACGTCCATCCAAGTCGAGAACGTTGCCGATCAGAAAGGTGCATATTTTTCTGAAATCCACGACCGGCACCAAGATCGCTTCCAAGATTTCGGGAGGGGGGGCTCTGCTGGACTACCCTAGACGACGGGCACTGGGGATGCCGATCGCGAACTCCGAACCTTTTCCCACCTACCAGCGAGCCTGCCAGCGAGCTTAGCCACGCGAGCTGTCGACGGGGACGCCGCGGCGATCAGCCGTGGAGACGACTTCTCGTTGAAGATTACGACGAGCGGCCCGACGTGTTGCACGGATTTTTGGAGCCGCAGTTCGGGGTCACGACCAGTGGAAGGATGGGGCCAGGGCAGCCTGGACAGACGCGATGCCTCAAGAGGATCATCGGCCGCGCTGACAAAGGGCCCGAGACAGAGGCACCCGGTTTCTTATGGGCAGTGGATCGAAGCACGCGGGCTCTTGGCGCAGTGGGCCCAGAAGAGAGACAGCAAACCGGCGCCTGCGCCAAGCATGCGAGCTACGGGGCAAGGCAAGCGCGACAGTTTGGACTTACTCTCGAAGGAGCGTGCCAGGGGCGTGGCAGGAGCAGCTGGCGCAGCCTTCCACTTGTCTCCCGGCAGCCAGACACGATGTGCGCAAGCAAGACGGCGATGCAGCGCGCGTCGAACCCAAACGTTCTCATGCTCCCTCGGGTGCAATGCTTGCGACGGCACTGCGAAGGGCGCCTGCGTTGGCATGGGGCTGCCCACCTCAGAACGCACTCAGTGGACTGCGCGCCGATGGAGATGGTTTTGGGCGCCCACCTCGGAACCGCAGCGGAAGTCAACAAGTTGTGGAACAGTGCGATACGGAGACCACACTTAGGATTACGGTTCAGTCATCCAGAATACAACTGCACGGAGTCAGGGAGAGTCCGAGATGCATGCGGTTGGCGGTGCTACAGCTAGAGGGCTCAAGGGCACCAATTACTTCATCGAGACCCAGAGGCCCTGCGAGTTGTAGGCGGTGACAGCGCGGCTGGACGCGGCATGCCCCAGCGAGCGGGCGCGGGCAAGGCGAGCCACTTTGAGTTGAGATTTCTTCTACTTCCAGAGCGGCTATGACTACAAACTTGAGAAATGTTGAAGAAACACACGGGCGAGATGACGGCATGCATTTCTCACGAAGTACAGCGAGTGGCCGACAATCGACTAGCATTGTGCGGCCTTCAACTTGACAGAAATTCCAGGGTCCGAGCGCAGTGGCAGCGCTGCTAGCTGCGACGCCGACAGCAGTAGCTTCAAATGCGACGGTATACGAGGGCAAAGGGAGTTCGGTAGCGCGTTGCCCAGCACCGACGTACCATGCTGACGAGGAGTTCTTGTAATAGTTGAAGGTCATTGTGCTGGCTCGTTCCGCTGTGATGAGCCTACTGGGGGTGTCCCTGTGGTTGCCGCGGCAAGAAGCTCTTCGGCAAGTTTTCAGAGCCTGTTCAGTGTAAGGATGCAGGTGCCCCCGCTCCGAAGACGCAAGAGGCGGAAGCAGGAGGTGAAGCAGGCGCGCACAGCAAAGCGAAGTGCAGTACGACGGACACAGGAGTGAGGCGCACGTTGCTGATGATGTTTCGCGCGGTGGATATGCAAGCAGTGTCCAACACCGAATGCCTACCAGTGACCGGGGTCAAGGACGACGTGGTGCCCAGACTGATCGACAAGGTCGAGATGCTGACGAGGGGCAGACCAAGGACAGCGAGAGGCTGCGCGTGTGACGTGCCCTACTTGATTTACTACGGAGACATGATTTGTGGTCGCAGGAAACAGCGCGACAGGGATGACGGCTTGGCACAAAGGTGGCGGGTAGCCCCGCTCCGTGACCTACTTTACGAGTGGGATTGTGGGCTTGGTCGCGTTTAAACCCGCACCAAGACCGGCTCGAGAGCGTTCGCAGGCGCAGCTGCAAAGACAACGACACCTGCGCGGAGGCCGCGCAAGGCGTGTCTGACCTGGACGGCCGGACCGGCTCCTTACGCCCAAGGACAAGTGCTGGGGAAGTTCTGGTTCCATATAAGTATACGATGTAGTACAATCTGAATTCGTCGGGGGTTAACCCGAAAACCTGCAGGTTCAAGGAGAAGAGCCATTGTTCCCTTCCCCCGCTGCCACGGTGGAGGGGGGACTCGAGCACGTAGGGCCGCAATGTTTGTTTTCCAAGGAAAACGCTGCGGTTCACAGTTGGGAAGGGGCAAGCGTCGGAAGTGGCAGGCCCTGGTGGTGAGTGCACCTGTTGGCCTTGTCGGGTGTTGCCGACGGTGTTTTTGGCCCAGCGTGTCCCCAGGATTTCCCGGAAGCCCCCCACGGCATCCAAACACCCGTCATGAGGCCCAGAGGGCCCTAGGGCTCTAGGAGCTACAGAGTAGCACGAAAGGCTGAGGGCACCTCAGGCCACCACCTTCGGGCCGGACGAAAGGGTAGGATAGGGAAACGGGGGGGGGGGGGGGGGGAAACCTGTTGCATGCAGCTGGTTTCGGCCGCCTCGCCGGGCCTGTTCTTTCTACATGGGCGCCTCCTGGCTCCAGGAGGCGCCAGGAAAACCAGCTGCGTGAGCTGATCATCTACCATGCCCGTTGCTATCCTACCCTCTCGTCCCTCCCCGGCACCTCTAGCAACCCCCGACTCTGCGTCCCCGGCGGCAGGAGGACGCTGGACCGTCGCCCACCGACAACGAGAGCCGCGACAGGACGGATGCAGCGACGCCCGAGGCCGCGGCACCGGGCGACGACAGAAATCACAACGGCACGAGCAGTGGCAATGTGCCCAATGGGCTCACAGACCGGCCACTCCCCCCCCTCCCCCCTCCCGAACCTCCTCCTCCACCTCCGCCTCCTCTTCCCCGCTCCTCCCCACGCCCCGTCCTCGTCCGCCTCATCCTCCTCGTTTCCTGCTTTTGTATCTCACGTTTTCGGTGGCAGTGCTATCCGATTCGCGGTGCCAGCGAGCTGCGAGGGAGGTGGATATACGGTCAGCATTTCGCTGGGGGAGTACCAGGGCAGCCCTCGCGATGGCAGTTGTGGTCTTTACCCCCCTGGCGAACCGACCGATTTCGACACCACTCGAGAGATCATCGATACGATGGGTCATCCCCGGGGGTACGGAGCACAGCTCCCCCAGTTGTGGCTGGTCGGGCTCAACAGCAGCACGCTGCGAGAGTCACCTGTTCCTAGGCCGTCTCTGCGGAAAGTGAGATGGCTACATGGGCGAGGAAATTGCCAATGAGTTCCCCCCCCCGTGTGATATTTCCCCCCTTCCTCGCAGGAGCCGCCCCCAGCGAAAGACGCCCTGCCCAAAGAGAACATCTGGGTTCAAGGCTCGGGCCCAGGACCGACAGCGTACCCACACGCATACACACACACACATACACACGCACAAACACGCGTGGCATTTTGACCAGGCAAACCCATGTGTACGCGTACGGCAGGTTGGCACCGCGTCGACGCGGCGGCAAAGCCAGCGCAGGCGTTTAAGGCTGAATGCCCCCAGTGGCCCAGAATCCATATCGAGCGATCAGCGCCACCTGAAGCCGCGATCGGTCGAACGACCACGCGGTGTCGGAATCCAACGCCCCGTGCTGGTATTGGAGAGGCCTGACGGCCGGTGCCGCCGACCCTGATCGAAAGGGCTAGGAGTGGGGGGAGGAAGCGGAGCATGAGGAGGAGGAGGAGGAGGAGAAGGAGGAGGACATTTTGGACATTCTGGACAATGAGGGCTCATGGGCAGCCACACGAGTGACATTATCACACAACATGTACAAGCACTATGCGAGCACACTGATGACAACAAAAAGAGAGCAACGAGGGACCCCATCACCTCGCCGCAGAAAAGAGGCCTCCTGCTGGAACGGCCCGCCGAAGACCACGGCGGTACCTCGCCAGCTCTCGGCGGCGGGCGATGGCCTGCCGCAGCTCGGCGGTGATCTCCACTCGGGCGGGGGGGGAGGAGGAGGAGGAGGAGCGGGGTGGGGAACCCAGGGATCCCCAGACGCCTCTAAAGCCCTCAGCATTCCCTCCTCGGCCCAGGGGTCGGGTTCGTCAGGCCAGAAATCCCCGCCCTCAACCACCTGGGGCACAGGAAGGGGCTCAGGACACGGCACATCATCACGGTCCTGGGGGGCTAGAGGGACAGCAGGGCGGTCAAATCTGTGGTCCCTGGGCCCCCGATCACTGAAACCAGCAAAGTCAAGTGCAATATTTTCATTGGGTGCTGCAGCAGCATAGGAGTCGAGGGCCTGAAAAAACTGGCTCAGTCCATCAGGAAGATCTGTGGGATCCAGGGCTTCACGGTCACTTAGCCGATAAGCCTCAGAAACAAACTCTGATACTGCACGCCCCATTGCTGCACATAGCGCCTGAGGGTACCTTTTTGGGGGAGCAGTCCTCCATTTTCCTGTATCAGGATCAATACCCAGTAAAGTAGTGTGGGTGTTCTTTGGGTGGTCGCATCTTCCCCCTCTTCCCAGTCCCTGGATTTCGTCCCCGATGGAGTCGAGTCTTATGCAAAGGAACGTCGTTGGGGCCTTACTGGTCTGTCCGAAACACATTGATCGAAACTGAAGGTTCGCGAGGGAGGGGCAGCACACAAGGCCCGCGCCGTTGCAGTCTGCCACGAGTTGGGAGCCCGAGGTCCCCAATGGGCCTCCTCAGGATGCTCTTTCAGTGCACACGCACCAACCTCCAGGCAGGTCAGCATCAACTTGTGCTGGCTCAGCAGGAGCTGCGTTCCAATTGAGAGCTGCAAATGGTGACGACTCGAAACGTCAGGACGTCCCCATCTATGTTTAAGGGTACGAAGAGGGGCAGGGGGGCGGGATCGATCAGCAACTCGTAGCTCCTGCCATCGCGCAGCTGACCATGTCTCACATGGCGGGCCTCCTATGAGTCCTATAGCACGGCCTGATCTCAGGAGCTCATCCCACTTCTGCACAATATCTTCACGGGTAAGGTCACCATTCACCTCATCACATGCCACAGCACAGTAAATGATAATGACAGTCACGGGCCCATGGACCAGTGCACGCTCGAGCTCCTCCTGCACATCTCCTGTCCTCCGTGCTCCTGAGAACAGATGTAAAAAGGCAAGCACAGCATACTGCAGTGGTCGTGGACAGCGCTCAGCCGCTGGTCCGTCATAGGCTAGAGGTTCAAATTCATGTTCATCTTCCAGAGGGGGCTCACATCGGGGTACTTCACTCTGGACCTCCAAGATGGGCTCTGGGGCCTCTTCGTACTGGTAGTCCATACTACGTACGACCTGCCAGGCCTCCACATAGGGCAACTGGGAGGCTTGGGGGGGCATTCCGAGGTCCTGGCACTCGATAGGCGGGGAGCCAGGCTCCCCGACGCATGGCCCCTTTTTGTCGGGCCCGTTTCCTCTCAGAAGCCTCCAAGGCACGCACCTCCTCCAATACCTCCGAAGCCTCAGGGCTCAGGAACAGGAGGGCCGAAATGAAGCAATTGGGGTTGCCATGCGCCAGGTGGTCAATGCTTAGTTCCACAGAGCTGAACCGAATCAGACAAATAGGGCATGTACTACTGTGTATATATCTGGCAGCAACATCACGTTGTCCATGATGTAGTCGGGCAATATGAGACTTGACTGCTGCACACTTCGGGGACAGGAACGGGCAAAAGGGGCAGCGATGCACAACAGGCACAGGAGCAGGTCGCAGAGACAGATCTTGCGGCACTCCAATACTAGCAGCGTGCTGAAAAAAAAACTCTTGCGTGCGTCGCCTGGCATCCTCGGTGCGACTGGCCCAACGGATATGTGATCCAATTCCAGATCTGACCAAGTTCGCCCAGTGCTGCCCCCTTCCCGTGATCTCCTTCTCCCATGGCCCAAACTCCGAAAACGGATTTGGAAACTCACGAAGCCGAGAAACCCGAGTACGTAGCCACCTCAAATCATTCAAAACCATGTTGAACCATGAGTGTTTCGGCTCGGACGTAGCTCGAATCAGCCCAAAGAGAGCCCCATGAGCGTGCCTATACAGACGGGTAAGGTAACGGAGACGGTGCCATCGCATCATAATATCCACGTCGCACTTGTTAGCCAGTGCCAAAATGGTCTGGTCTGTCTCAGCATCCTCATCGTAGGCCGGCCGTCCGAGCGCAGCCCGATAGATGCGGATGATGCCAGCGCGGTACTTCTTAAACTGCGCAGCGGTCGGGCTCGACCACGTAGCCGCAGTGTAGAGTCTGCCCGAGAGTATCAGTACGTCGGACAGCTGCAGCTTGTGCTGCACTGAAAGCTGAGGGTTCGGAAACACTGTCTGCCGTAGCGCCTGCAGCGACGACGACGTCGAGGAAACCCGATAGGCCGGCTCAGGGGCCATGTCCTGCTTGTCCGAGACCATGCCCCCAAGATGTTTGTACGAGTGTACAGCCTCCAAAGACAGGCCTTGAGGAAACGTGCGGGTACCAGGAATACAAACCTTACCCTCCTCCTCAAACCAGAACTGCTTGCGGGCCGAAACCGAGCCAGGTCCTCTAAAGGTGACCAACAAGGCCGTCTTGGTGGGGCCCACATTGATCTTGAGGCCCGCGGGGGTGAAGGAGTCCGCCACGATCGACACGAGCGTGCGAGTTCGTTGTATAATGGAGCCTGCTGGGCCCCAAGCATTGAAGAGGCTGTCATCGCTGTGCTCAACGTCATTGACATAGATCTTCGTATCACACTTGGCCAGGGGGTCCAGGGTCCTGGCCGAGGGAATATCGAGCTCCTGCTGGAGCCCAGCAGCCACCAAGAGGTCCCACGTCTTTCGAATACACCTGGACACGATGAACAGGAAGAGCTGGGCCGCCAACGCGTTGCCTGGCCTGGCCCCGGTAGTCATGATAGCTACTTCTCCAGAGCCCTGTGTCGTGGCCCATGTCCCCGACAAGGTCTCCGCCAAGATGCGTCGAAGGTGCGCGGGGACCTCCAGTTCCTCAAGCAGCGGTGGCTGAACGAGCTCCGCTGCATGTAGGTCCATGCAAGAGGGCGGCAAACCTGATGCATATAATAGTTGTGCAACACGCTCATCAGAAATCTCCTCCTCTCCTTCGAATCGAATGAGAATCTCTTGAACAGCATGATGGGAAGCGGCCTCCAGGTCCACGAAGAGCGTCGACATCGACTCCGGTCGAATGCGAGAGAGCTCCTGCATAAGCCGCACCGTGTGGACAGCAACGTCAGTCCCACGTCCCTTGATGCCCCCACATTGCGATTCAGGTGCATACATATCTAGAAAGGGCTGAAGGCGCCCTGCGACCAGAGCATGTGCACGCTCACCCACCTGGGGCCCTATGGCCACTGACCTGCTGGAGGCGCGCACATTGGGCTGACCTCGACCCTTGTGCAGATCAGCCAGTCTCGAGCTTTTCCACTGTATAGGTTCATGAATACACATCATGTACTTCAGCACTACGGGAAAGTAGAGACGGGCACATTGGGTAGAGCACATACGTAGGATAGCCCCAGGCACACAGCCCACACCATTCGCACAAGCGCTCGAGGTCTTCAGCAGTTGCTGTTCAAACATAGCAAGCGTCGGTAGCATCTTCGCCGCCGAGTCATCAATCTCAGCCAGCGGGTAGCTAGCTTCTCCTACAAACTGCAGCAGGCTGGCGGCAGGTACACGAAAACCAAGCCCCTGCTCCGCAAAGTGTTCCAGCCATCGATCTCGCCCAGCAGTTGGCGTTAAAGCAGGCGTGCCATTCTTCAA